TCTGCTGCCCAAAGCTTCTGCTGGTTTTTAATGATCTCTCATCAAAGCTGTCCAATCATATCCTTCTGGTCCTATCAATGGCTCTAGCAGAGTGACTGCAAGCCATGATGTGTTCGATGGAACCATGGCTGCAGCAGCATTAAAACGGCAGTTTTTCTCACTAATGTGAAGTCTTCCACATATTAAGTGAATGCAGATGAAACCAAATTAGACAAGTAGCAAAACGTTGCTTCATTACCTTTCCAAACGGTTCAGCTTTTGTCTGCACCGATAAACTATGTTTCTTTTCTCCCCTCTTCTCCTGCCATTGGCCTATCCGTTTACTGTGACAGCCTCTCCCCATGCGTCTGGGTTTTGTGAACCCTCTCACCTATCATGTTCGGCGTGCTTGTAAAGGTTGATGCTAATAATAATGATGTCTCACTGCTGCATTTGTAAATACTCTGAAGTTACAGGCATAATGCCTCCAACTCTCCCTCTAACCTGGTAAGTAAACAAACATTCAGAATTTAGTGTTTCACTGAATTTGTATTCCAGCTTCACTGTGAAGGGATATACTTATTTAGCAGAAACTTTCCAATATTGACCTTTTGCTGTTTGAATTTACTCCATTAACAGTTTCCTGTCAAAAAGTCTAATTTACCTGTTTACATCACACATGGAGTCGAGGTCGGTTCCAGGAGCAAGGTGGAATCTTTAAAATTATGTTTTGGGACCTTTCTTGTCTTAAAAATAAAGCAAATATATATATATATATATATTTAGAGCTCAAAATAAATTTGAACAATATTAATTGAACAATCAATTAAACACTCTTCTTGGTATTAAATCCTCATAAAAAAAACTAAATGTAACCATACATTGATTTGCAGAAAGTAGACCACAGCTGTAGCAAAAATGTCAACATTTTCAGTTTAAGAGGAAATCTCTATTCAGAACTCCTCAAGTGAAAGAGATTGTCCCCAACGAAGCAACCTCAGTGAGCAGGAAGGAACAGTTCTGGAATCCAGGAGTCTGCAGCCTGGTCAGGGGTTCCAATCCGCACAGGAAACACTGAAATGCTTTCACCACTGGCTAGTGAATAAACTCGCCTGAAGACACTGGCTCGTGAATTAGTGTTGCACCGATACCAATAGCAGTATTGGACGGGGTCCCCATCCATCACTTAAATGATGGTATGGGTATCAGCGAGTACCAACAAATAGGGCACCGATACCATTTTGAAAGCCAACTATTGTCACCCATTCCAGGTAGGCAATACAAAGTTCTACTGGATTGAATTAGTCTTTTTCCTGCTTCATAAAGTTAGGCAGCAGCTTGACAAAGCCATGATGGCAATTATTTTACATCCGAGTAGTATGCTGTTCTTCATATACACACATCACACATCATTTTCAAACAGATGGTATCGGTATGGTGTCGGTATCAGCCAATACTGCACACTCAGGTATCGGGTATTGGTATCGGGGCCAAAAATTGGCATCGGCGCAACACTATGGTGAATAGTCTCCTCACTGGAATGAGGACATGTACCTTGGACTAACTCAAAGTAACGAAACAGAACAAAGTGACGTCAAACAATGATCTGGCCCCGATAGCTGGAATGAACCGTATATGAAGCTGAAGGAGCAGGTCGATAAGATGAATGATAATTAGAGAGTGGTGGGGGAAAGAAGCGGTATCGCTGCCTCTTTTTGTATCTCTAATTCTGTCTCCTTGAACCCCAGTCGGCCTCAGCAAGCCTTGTTCTGCTGGAGGTTTCTTCCTGTTAAAAGGGAGTTTTTTCTCTCCACTGTTGCATGTTTGGTGTGAGGGATTGCCTTCGAGTTAATGAGTCGATGCAATCAACTAGTTTTTCTTAGATAGAAAACTTTGAATCAATCTGACTGTATGATATGGTAGAATTGTCTCTGTAAATTGCATTGGGATGACATCAGGCTCGGAATAGGAACGATTTTCAGCCCTGGCATTTTTTCATCTACTATTACTTCTTGAGCACCTTGAGTTATTTACTGTCACAGGTAGGTGCTTCAGCCAGACTGTAAGTGTTGGGGCCGGTATGATTTAAGGAGGCCTTGGCACGCCGAAATTAGGACTTGCCCACTGGGCAAATGTGGCCAGCCAAAGTATCACAGATTACCAGTCCAAGCCTGGATGACATGTGTTGTGAATTGGCGCTACATAAATGAACTGAATTGAATTGGAAAAAGTAATTAAGGTCAGCAATCAGGGCAGATCATGATAGTGGCAGGTACTTTTTAATTTATTATTTCTTTTTTGCATTGTTGTGAGGATCAAATAAACTATTTTCTTACAGTCAAAACGTCAATGAATGAAAATATACTAAGATTATCGCTTTTTTATTTTAATAAAATATGTAACTGGTTACTAAAAACTTCTAAAGCTGTTACCCTTGTTACCCAAAATAAAAAATTGAAAGGGTGTGAATACTTTTATGATATATTGCTTTTGCTGCTGAAGTGTTATAAAGTCTTCCAAGTTCATGAAGCAGTAGATGACAAAAGCAAAGGTTGAGAACCTTTGACTTAAAATGATGAAGTTCTACAAACCAAACCATGATTGTTTATTATAATACATTTTCTCTAAACTAATTGTTTTCTGGGACTATTTGTCTTTTACTTGACAAGTTCTGGCAAAAGAAGCTCATTATGATCAATTTATCTTTTTTATTTTTAAGTGTTTCTTTAAGATTCCAGCCCAGCACCGGTTTTTCTCTGTCCTCCATTCCTCCAGACTCTTTAACAGATCCTCAGAGTTGTGTTTATATATTCTGGCCCACGCCATTTCGCTGCAGCTTTCTCTGGTAATCTTCACACTGTGTGTTTATAGGATTGTTTATGAGTTGATATTCCACTCTAAAAGCTAGATCTCCTTGTTTGGCAAGGCGTCTTGTGTCGCTCTTTTCCTTCCATCATCAACGCCTCATTTTGTTTTCGTCTAGCTTAAAAACCTTTTCTCTTCTTTCTCATACATCATTAAAAACGTTGGGGTTAGACTGTTGAAAAACAGCTCCATTCAGAAAACTACTACATTTATGAAGGTATTTTGTTGATCGAGGTATTTACGTCATCCAGCACGGTTACTTACTCCTGATGCTTGACTGTTTCTGCAGTCTAACTACCGAGTCATTAAGCCCCTTGAGGCCATTTATGGTAAAGGGTTTAGTCTCCGTGCAGCTGCTTCACTCCAACCATGTTGGATTTCCTTTATGAACATGTTTTATTTTTATTAGAGGGTAAAGTGGGAGTCGTTATAAGGTCAGTAGAAGCCAAATTATTCAGATACACCGACTGTCAGTGTGCAGCTCTAATGTTTGGGTTCAACTTGTCTTGTTAATCACAGATAATTCTTCACACCTCATGTTGAATAGTCTTCCTCTGATGTGTGTTCTTTCTTCTAGAAATAGTGAGGATTTCCTTTTTCCTGATAAAGCTCATGGCAGGGATGCTCTTACCCCCTCTATTATATACTAAATCAGGTAGCTTCCTCTGTATTCTCTCAATGGTAACCGACAAGCAGTTGTTTGTCTAGGATTTCTGGGTGTTCAAATAAACTGTTTTTGTCAAAATCTAAGCTGCAAGATTCAGAAAGCTAATGCATCTCTAGCTTCAAAATCAACTCTTAAAATGATAATTACTCCCATCTTCCATGAGTCTACATGTACTCTCTATATCCCTCAGCGGAACGTAAATGATGAATTTTTTATCGTAACTGTCATTGTTTGCACACATTTTCACTAACCCTGCTTAGTAATTTAGCTAGGCCTCTGTTAAATGGAGTTAGCTACCTCAGGACCCTGGTTGTTATGTTACCACAGGCCTCCATGCATTTCTGTAATCTGAGAGCGGATGTACTCTGTGTAGTGCAGAGTGCCTGTGGGGTCAGGAGGGCAAATGGGCTCCCAGCAATCATGGACAAGTGCTGGCTGGTGTAGACGCCACAGCACGCTGTTTGAGATGGGAAAGGATGGTGGGAAAGGAGCTGAATCCTGAGGTGGATTTTGATGGTGAGGAGGAATTTAGGACCTAAAGTGATCTCTTGGATTTATTCTAGACTCTGGGTCAAGACTTTTCTAACATTTTACACTCTGAAATTAGTAATAAAAGTATGGGATAAGGATAAAAGCTATCATTTAATGAATTAATCTAGGTTTCTTTTGATCTTATCAACAGAATAATGAGTAATTGATTAAAGGCCATTTCCTTAAACACCCTGGTCTTTTCTTGTATCCAGAGGTTTTTTTTCATAGCATGAAGAGCAAAGAATGTTTTGCAATACAATTATAGTTTAAAAAGACCAAGATAAAGTTCACTTACACATATTTTTACCTACATATAAGATATAAAAAAAAAACAGGAACCTATTAGGTTACTGAATCCAAAAAAGGTTATTAAAAATGTGAAACTAATCTGTAGCAACTATCAATCACCTTTTAATCGCTTCTGGGTGCGGGGAATCCTGGTATTAACGCACCTACAAGATGATGTCCAAACCAGGAGATGAGTTATGGGCATTCCCATATATTGAGGTCAGTTTGTAGATGAACAAACTGTTGGAGTGGCAAGTCTGTACGATGCACAGGTAATTATGGAGAGTGTGTATATGACAGATCTTAATGACGCAGGCTATTGTGTGCCAAAGAAAACGGTAAAAACCGTATGACCTCCCGTCACCCAAACCCTTTCTGCCGTCTCACCGTTATCATTTTCTCCTCCACTCCACCACCAGTGGTAGAGCAAAATAGGTCAGTGCCTCAATCTAAACAGAACACCACCCAAACCAACAAACATAACTAAACCCCCAATGACTATAAATGGCTCCCACATCTTATTTCCATTGAACAAAGATGTAAAACCATCATTCAAAGAAAGCGTATGTTGCTCTAACATACTGTCATTAAAAAGAGTGAATAGCATAATCTTTCCCATACACTGTTGTTGTGTACTAAAGAACAGCTCTATCCTCTTTCTTTTTTTCAGGCTCAGAGAAAAGAGGTGTTTCTCCAAGACCGATATGGCCACTATACCCTGACCGACCCCTTCCTGGCACTTCAGAGAGACTTTGAGTGCAGAGCCCCTGGTGGGGACAAAGAACGGCGGCCGTTGGGGTCCAGCCCTATCTCCGTCCTGGAAGCTGTCATGGCCCACTGTAGGAAAATGCAGGAACGTATGTCAGCCCAGCTGGCTGCTGCCGAAAGCCGCCAGAAGAGGGTAAGAAGTGCTTTATCAGTGAATAACATTCAAGTTTGGGACTTCAACAAGATGAGCATTGGTTCCAAACTGAAACACAGTGCTATCCATCATACTGCTATCAACTCTCTTGTGTATATAACAGCCAAAAAAGATCTATCTTTTTTTAAGACATGTTGGAAACTGGGGAACTGATGCTTAAACAAATGCATAAATAAAAGTTTTTAAAAAACTGGTTGACGGTGCCACAAAACTCATGTTATCACATTTGACTGGTTTCTAACTGGCTTCTTCTCTTTAATTCTTACTTTAACAAGTTATCAGTCTGCTACAGCTGCCTAGGAAAAGATTTATGCTTTTTACAAGGTGTGTTTTTTAAATCTAACTTAGCTTTATCTGCTGCCATTTGACTGGGAAGAGGAAATGTAGGCTTGGACATCAACGGAGGTGGAGGAAAGCAGTCCATGGCAAGAAAATATGAAATTCCTCAATTCTAAGTGTCTGCCAGAGGAAGACTGGACTGTATAAATGCCTGTCTGTAGGAGTACATAAAGCAAATGCTTGAACATTGTTCCAGATTGTGTCCTACAAGCTTTATTTGCAACTCATTCTGTTCTCCTGAGCAATTGTGCAGGATTACAGTAGGCAGCTCTGATTAACTGGGCAGCCAGATGTCAGCTAAGACTTTGCCCCATTTTCCTGATCTCCCTCTTTTGTTCATGCTCTTACTCTCACTGTCGGGTCACTCAGGCACATTTTCTGATGTTTATTATTTTAATAGACGTTAAACACCAGAATTTAACAAGAGATTTAAACTTTTTTTTTAAAAAGAACAACTTGTTTATTAACATTGTTATACTATACTAGTTGAACCTCATAGCTAGGAGTGAAATGAATCATTTATCATCTGAGTTGAATCAATCAAAATATTTCAGTATGAGGGACAAGACAAGATTTTACTTGGATGTTTTGTAAAAATCTCCCAAAATTATGCTTTTAAAAATCTGTAATGGATGTATAATACTTCAGCCTGTTTCATTTTCAGCTATGAAGCTTTAAAAACAACCCGTTAAAACATGCCCCCATTGTGTGTTTTAAATCATGTATCAAATGTTACATCAATATCTCATTGTGTTTTAAAGGGTCGATGTTTAATAGTGGGTATTTTATTTTTTGCGCTGAATTAAATAAGAAAGCAGGGCTTGATATCAATCTTGAATACAGCCAACAGTTTGCCAGTCACAATGTGGTCACAGCACAAATACTTTAGTTTGCTATTTATTTTAACAAAAAAATCCAGTTAAGCATTAAAAAATAAAAAATCCAAAACGGTGGGAGAATTGATTTAATAAAGGAAAGTTTCTTTCTAAAAGGTCCTACAGATTATTTCACATTCCTATTCACTAGTTGATGTCCAGATATCTGGAAGTAGGGATGCAGGTTATCGATTATTGAATTAATCTAGGTTGATTGATCATATCTATCAATTAACAATTAGTTGATAAGGGGCTATTTTACTTTAAAAAATACTTTTTTGTTGTATCCAGAGGATCTTTCAACAACTTCGGCTTAATATTTTGACAATATTTAAAAAATACTATTTGTAATACTATTTATCAGGCCAGCTGTGTAAAATATTATTTAAATAAACAACTTTTTTCTTACTTATTAAACATATCACAGAGGAACTATTTAATTTACTTAATTAAAAAAAATATATATATTTATAACACAACTTCCAAAGTGCAGAGATGTAAAACTAGTATTAACAAACAGGTTATGTTGCTCTGACACGCTGTTTGTTACTTTATTTTCATGACATGGATGCTAACTGCGATATAGCTCCTATTATTAGTGTAATCTAAGAATCGTATCGGGGCTCAACTAATAATGGCTTTTCATACTTGATATGCATGTGTTTAACTCCGATTGGGACCTACCCAGAGTTGAATAACATAACAAGCTGAAAACTCATAGTTTCCACCTTTAGCCTAGATCAATTTAGAGTTGAATATTTGACTTGAAGTATGTTGTATGGAGTCTGGGAAACGGGCCTATGGGCTCAAATTCTCATCACAGTATTTCATAGTAATGTCATCATACCGATAAAAGCAAGGACAGAAAAATTCAGAGTTATTGTTCTTTTTTTTTTTGTTTTTTTTTTGTTTGGGGTCTTTCTCAGCTATCTGTAAGGCTGTGACCGCATGTCCCAAAATTTATAGCCCAGCAATCACAAATAGTGCTCTTCCAAAATATTTAAATTGAAAAAAGTGGCAGACTTTACGGGCTGCATCGGTTCACAGACTTGAGCATCTCTTCTATGGTCTGAGAAGTGGAGGAGACATGGCAAGCTAAGACCTGGTTGTAAGGCAAATTTCCCAATACTACGGTAGAGGTGGAGGGGTGCTCAGACAAAACTGCAGCTGCAGGGAAGATAAAAGTTGAAGGTTTAGCACTGGACATTCATTACTCATGGTACACAGCTATGTAAACAATCAGAGCCTTCTGCTCCATCGATTTCAAATGTCTGGCGGTTGAGTGCAGACTACTTAAACTTGTTAGAGGACTCAGCTTTGTTAAAATAATGATCAGCCTATATACCACCTAGTGTTAATTGTTAATGCAAAGCTAGCCCTTGAGATCTGTCTCACTAGCAGCCAAATTTATGAAACCAATTGGTCTCTCCATATTCCATGATTAAAAGCATTCTGTGTCTAAACCCTCTTTCCCACTGAAAATACCACATTGAAGCAGGTTTTTCAAACATTTTGGCAAAAAAAGCCCTAGCTGGCAAGCTGCACAACCTCCGTCCCCCCACCGCTGCGTATCTGATGACACCACCACACTGTTTTAGCTTTGATGATGTCACCTGTGCAACGGAAATCAGGAAAGTAACCAGTGGAAAGCAATATGTAAGGGAGGTAGGGTGTAGTAAGTTAGAAATCCCTCTTACCAGCACTGCAACATTGTCATTGACATTGCGACAAATGTAAACAGAGTTGTTTCAGCTCATTAGATCAGATGTGGCTGGTGCAATGTGTTGACGTCCTTACGTTGCATTCAATGCAATGGCGTGATGACACAACAACAGGCCCGTAAGCAACATTATCTGGGTGGGCCCCATATTAAGTACAACATCTGATAAAGGTTCAGGATACTGCGACAGTTCCATAAATCGGCCAAGAAGATATAATTCTCAGTAGTAAATGATCACGCATCACACCCGGAAAAATAGTGACTGCGCACCTTGAATGGAACCATTGGTGACAGTGCACCACTAAATGTTACAGACATCCCAAGTTCCAAAAACTAATTGCAAGGAAATTCCTATATACGCTTATCTATGTTCTGGGTTACCCATAATTCCAAGCTGTATTGTAAAAAATAAAATACTCAAATACATCGTACTTTTAAGATCTTTATTGCGGTTTGAAACATGTTATGAGTGAATTTTTTACCAAATGAAATGGAAATGAAATCTCCCTGTCTATCTCCCTGTAATATTTGGATATATAGTGTTTTTCTTCTGATTGTGTTTGATATTTTTATGGGTGTGTTAGTTTGCGACCACGGAGGAAGGAGGCTGGAGTCTGCAGTTGTCGAGCACTCGGTAGCTTTTATCTTTTCTTTTCAGTTTCATACATTACATTTCNGCTCATGGGCGCGCTTCCACGGCAACACAGGACCAGGTGACCTCAAAGAGATGAGAAAGATGATTAAAACAAATCAAACCACCTCCCAAAACAATACATTCACCCAAATAACCCAGAGTATACAAAGAACATGAAAAACAGCACCTCTTAGGGAGGGGGTAAATCCCTCACAGGGTGTTTTTTTTTTTTTTTAATAGGTGTGTTCATTCTGTCTCTGTTCTATACTTGTCTTTTTACCTTGGTGTCTTCATGACAATAAAGCTTCTTTATTCTCAATAAAAGCAACCAAGGAAAGGTGCTGAAACACCCTGGTTTAGCCTTATAAGAGGATTCCTCTGGTAGCTTGGTAGAGTGGGGAATATTTTTATATTCCCAAACCCTTTTTCCCTCTGGCTGTTGGCCTGTGGGAAAGCTGCTGAATTATCCATACTATCCCAAGCAAGATAAATTTAGGCCACCATATGCTGTGCATTAACATGCTTTAAGCTAGAAGACAGACCTGTAGAAAACAGCGTTTTAACTACAATTTTCAATTCAGTTTATTTATATAGTGCCAATTCACAAAACATGTCATCTCAAGGCACTTTACAGAGACAATTCAACCAGATCATACAGTCAGATCAGTTCAAAGTTTTCTATCTAAGGAAAACCAGCTGATTGCGAGGACTCATTAAATCGAAGGCAATCCCTCACACTACGCATGCTTGTAGCGACAGTGGAGAGGAAAACTTCCACTTTAACAGAAAGAAACCTCCAGCAGAACCAGCCTCAGTGTGAGCGGCCATCTGCAGAGGCAGACTGGGGTTCAAGGAGACAGAAGCAGACATGCACCTGCAAACCAATAGAATTTATAAAAAAAAAAAAAAAATCATGGTTATATTTTCTGAAAATAAAATACCTTAAGTCTAAATTTTACACAGAGAAGAAGGATTAGGAGTCTGGAAAGGACTGGTTCTCCACCTGGTATATTTGGTAGCTTAGCATTCTTAAGATACATCAATATTTGGAACTATCAATAAACTTAAGAGAATGTAAGAAATGTAAAAAAAAAAAAAAGAAATTGAACTAGACAATGAGTATTTATTTTATTTTATCAATTTCATTTGAATTGTTAATAAACACTAAACAGAAAATAAATGTTTTGTTTTAACTCAGTTTTTTTTTTTTGTTTTTTTTTCGCAGTCCATTTTCTTTCCTGAGTTTTATATATAAAACCACATACCTTTATGTCATTGCCATTACTATATTTTGCTATGGAAGCTATCAGCAATAAAATCTAGGAAGGGGATTCAGCAAAATGTGTTTTATAAACCACCTCAGTAATACAAAACTTTCTTTGAAAACTACCCAGAACTGATTTAGATTAAAACGCCAGATGGTAGAGTGGGCCTGGCACATCTTAACTTATGACTGACTACCTGACATTTTTAAACATACCTGCTGGATAACCACAATGATTTTATACATCTGAAAAGTCTGTTACATGTTCTGTCTGGTTTTAGTATGGCATTAAACTCAAAACCACGCCTAAATGTTCTCTGTGACAGTATTTATTCTCATCCAGTCAGCAGCTAGTTGTAGCAAATCTACCTCAGGAACAAATGCTTGCTTTGCTTTTAGGACGGTGAGATGTAATCCATAAAGATAGAGATATTTTATAGATTACACATTACATCTAAATCAGAGATATGAATCGGTTATCAGGGGTTTAAGGGGGTCTACTTTTAGGGAGAAAGTGAACACCAGCTGGATTGTTTGGGACTTGTTAAAGTAAAGGAGGCATCACAATCAGGTGGAGATCCTCCTGGTAAATCCTGATACCCTCTGTGAAGCCAAGACTGAGCTAAGAATAGCAATGGTCCAGAGATAGAAGTCAGCCATAAGCACATGTAGTGCCTGGAATTTTTGTAGTTCTCCTTTAAACATCTTAAATAATGGCAATAATAATGATTATTTGTTCTCTATATGTTATGTATTTCTGCAGACGCCTGATATTAACCCCATTTATTTAAAACATGACGCGTGGTAAAGAGTTTGCAAAGAAAATAATCCAATGTGTTTATGTAGGACACTGGTAGGGATGCAAATGTGTCTGAAAAGCAGATTCAGTTTAAAAATGTCTAACAGATGTTATACTAGGTTTAATTTTCAGTTATTTAAAGCAACACTTTGCAAATTTTGACCCAGGTATTGCACTCAGAAAGGCTGACCCACGACGTTACAGGTCTAGCACCCCTAGTGGCTAAAACGTATAAGCTTGTGTTTTAACAATAGACATGTTTTCTTCAACCTACATTCATCACTATCATTTACTGACTTTATGTTTTTATTTCAGCTGGAGATGGAAAAGCTTCAGCTGCAAAGCCTGGAGCAGGATCACCGTAAACTAACAGCACAGCTGAAAGACGAACGTGAGAAGAACAAGCACATCGTTATGATGCTGGTGCGTGAATGCAAGCAGCTCGCCACTCGGGTGGTTGAGGAGTCGCAGCGCTTCGACGAGCTCCAAGCTCGCCTAGATGAGGAGAGCCGCACCTCTGGCCGGCTCCAGGAGGAACTGAGCGTTGAGCGCCAGCGAAGTCAGCAGATGGAGGCTAAGATGGAAAAGCAGCTGTCAGAGTTTGACACTGAGCGCGAGCAGCTGCGTGCCAGGCTGGGCCGAGAGGAGGCCGAGAGTCAGGGCTTGCGGCAGCAGGTGGAGCAGCTTAGAACTGAAAGGGGTGATGGGAAAGATGGTGCAGCTGCTGCTGCTGGAGAGGAACCTGCTGCTGCCACCAGTACCCCCCCAACACCTAAAGATATGATCTCTGTATCCATAGCAACAGAGCCCATTAGCTGTCAAACAGCATCTTGCCAAACAGATGTTCCCCCTCCTGAAGTTGAGGGTCCTAAGAAGACTCCCCTCACTATACCTGCCAAACCAACTCCGGCCAACTATGTGGGCCTCAGCTTGCCAAAGACCACTGGAAGGGGGATTGTCCACAGCAGTTCAGGAGGGTTGGCACAGACAGAGAATGGCTCAGAAGGCCAAGTTCCTCATGGACTACCCACCGGGGTCAGTCCCCGTGTTCAGGCAGCCCGCTACAAGTTCCAGGAACAGGACCAAAACGGAACGGCGTCTCAGAGTCCTCCAGCCCGCGACCTTTCCCCAACCAACCGTGACAACTTTGCAGCCAAGCAGCAGGCACGTCACACCGTGACGCAGGTCCTGTCACGCTTCACCAGCCCTCCCGCAGGAGGTTCCGGGTCCCTCCGTCCAGGCCTGTCCCACTCGGCCTCAGAGGGGGGACCTTTTCCAAGCCGCCTGAGCCATCCCATTGGCCTCAAGTCGCCCACCGTGACCAGGATCGACCGGGGAAACCCTCCTCCTATACCTCCTAAAAAACCAGGGCTCTCCCAGACCCCCTCACCCCCCCATCCATCTATCAAGGTGGTGGGGGAGAGCAGCCGCTCCCCTGGGGCTGGTCTAAAGCCAGCCACCCCCCAGCTGCCGCCAAAACCTGCCCTGGACCTGGTCCCAGCCCTGACTGCCTCTCAGGTGGGTGCTCGCCCCCGCTCGCCTGGGCCCGGCCGGGGGCCTCAGCGGCAGGCAGCAACAGCATGTGCAGAGTCGCAGCAAGACATCAGTCCTGCCACTGCTGTCAGTAGCTCCTCCTCCATACACCCTCCCTCCTCATCCTCCTCCATTAGTGCTTCATCTTCCTGTAGTCCCCGTGCCTCAGCAGGCAGCCCCCTGGCAACAGCATCAGGTAAAGGGGGCTCATACAACTTCTGTCTCCCTCCAGTTCTTTCTGCTTCCTTTGTATTTCCCTCTACAGTCCTTGAAAGTTCATTCTGTAGTCCAGGGTAGCGTAGTGATCAAAGCAGAGTACGTCACCGGCCGATTCAGTTCGCCTCTGACCGTAAGGCTCCAACATTGCTCACTGCACTCTCCCTTCACTCATCTTTCTTCCTCTAATAAGCCCTTGTCTCTGGGCAGCTCTCTTATCACATGCTGCGACCTCGGCTTTGTCGGTATCAGACACTGACAGCATGGGGAGAACTTTAGGGCAAACTGAATCTAACGTTGAGCTGAGGCAAACCAGAGACCCTCGGTGCTCCTTGTATTCTGATTGGTTTGGCCTTTCTAGAAGTAACCCCTGTCCTCTCTGAAGCTGATGCCAGAGGCTGCTTTCTCCTTCCCCCTTTCTGCCATTTCTCGCAGCACGCCATTATCGTTCCTCATTTTACTCCCCGTCTTCCATTAATGTCAATCACTAACCTTTTCATTGTTTGGCTGCCTTGTTTTTTGTTTTGGATTTTTTTTTTATTTCAGACAAAACATTATTTTTTTTCTTGCAAATGTTTCTATCAGTTTTACTTTAAACCCAAATGAAGTGATATTTATTTTGCCTTCATTCTACCTGTTTGCATGGCTTCAAATCTGCCAGACATGATAACAAAAGCCTTTCAGAGATCCACGACTGGTTGGCAAAAATATGTTGAAAGTTCAGAGAAACTTTAAAAAAAAAAATTGACACATAGAAAATCCATAATTACTTAAAAATATTAATGGATGATAATAAATATATTGTTTTTCATCAATAGAGGTAAAAAGATTTTTCACCTGTGCAATGCATGCTGGGTTAATAATGCGGTTAGGACCATAAAGGCTAACATTATCCAAGTTTGAGAGTGTAAACAACATGGTGATATCAGTATGACAGTATTTTATTAAATCTGTAGTAATTTTACTATTTAGTATTTACATCATAAATATTTCGGAAATCTATTGTTACAACTAATTATGGATTCCTCCTACTAATCGGAAATATCCTAAAACTACTTCAAAAGTTGAGCATTATAAAGTATTGCAACATGTCCTGTTTTTAAATATATAGTTTTGGAGTTTTTAGCTCAAATCTTAACTCTACGATTAGTTAACTAATCCCAGGTGCTTGTTTGACCAGAACTAATAATAAGGATATCCAACACATTCCCTAAAAGGACCTCAAAAGATATAAACCTGGGCTTATTTCTGGCCTCAGCTCACAAAACTAGCATATTGTTCCTATATTAAATCTGGATTTTTAAACATATTAGGTAATTTTTCCCTCACTGCTTGCTCCATATTCCAGCTTCAGTAGCTCTTATTTTCTCTTATTAATACTCTTCAGCGTGTTTAAAATGTCTCTAAGAAACATTGTCAATTAATAACTGCAAAATATTATTAATTCTTGAATTTAGGAGTATTCAGTTAGATACCGTTTGTATTTACTGTGGTTGACTTGATTGGAAAACTGCTCTTAGGCTTTAAAATGTTAAAAACTTCTGAGGATACAACTGCAAGCTTTGATATATTTTATAAGGATTTTAAATGATAGAGCCACACAAAGGAATTTCTTAACTGTGAAGTAAAAAAATAAATAAAAAAGTTATGGTTTGTTTTTAGCATTTCTTTTTTTACAAATAAATAGTTGTAGTTTAAAAGCAGCTCTCTAAAAACTAATGCCACTGAATTTTCACCTCAAGCGGTGATGAATGAACATCGGAGGACAGAGGAGCATGCAAAACAAGTTAAGGATAAAGAGAGTTAAATGGAGTTTATATTGATATGAAACACTTAATACAAGTTTTCTTAGGAAGCAAATTAGTCACGGTTTTCTAACTAAAATTAATAGAAATGCTTAGGATCATAGGATTTAAAAAAAAGCAGGTTTTGACTTTAAATTAAAAAGGATGTTCTGTTCATGCAATCGTACAGATTTGTTGTTACTCTTTGCTGGTACATCTATTGAAAATTAAATGTTCAGTTTTATTTTATTTATCATTTTGAGTATCCTTGGGGAAGAAAATATTGTCTGGATGTTTACATTTGCGAACCGTCAACAGCAGGAGCTGCTGCTCACTCACCATGTTTTTCCACGTGGATCTGTCAAATATTCCTAGGAGCAGAAATTGTGTCGGTTCCATATAATGATGTAATTTTGGCACCTTAAAAGAAATGTATAAAACCAGAAACTAAACCGAAACATCTTTTCAAGCATGTTTTAAAGTCAGATGTAATCTTACACCCAAAATTCTTCCTGACCACATGACCAGAGAAATTTTTGAGTTTGCACATGACTTTTAAAATGACTATTTATACACCATATGATTTTTTTTTTCATAAGACTAGTACTTTCTTTCTCCATGACTCTAGATATTCTGTGGACGTACAACTTTGATTAAAAGATAAAACCTGTAATGAAGGTGCAGACATAAAGAAGTTTGCATGATCTTCTCCATTTAGTTAAAACATGCTGCCAGGGACCAAGCAGTCAGGCAAAGGACAGAGGTGTAGAAAAAATGTAATCTATTTATTTTCCACGGTACTAACAGCTAAAGACTAAATTCAGAGGGAAAAAAATGGCCCCAAAAGAAGATATGAACTAAGACAAATCTAACTAAGGATAACATACCAGTACTGTCCTATACAATGAACACAGGGGGATTTAAACACATAGGGCGTTTTTGATTTTAAAGGCTGCATCCTTCAAGGACCCGGTCTATCTGGACTGGATCCTTCAAGGTCCGTGAAAACAAGGAAACCGAAAGAGTTTTGGCTGTGGACTCAAACAGGTCCAGCCTTCGTCGGCTTTTACCGCCATATGCTCTGTCGCCTAGCAACCATGAAAGATGACAAAGAAAGCAGGAAAAGAATTAACACCGAACTTCTCACTGCTGTTTTGGGCGTTAACATTTTCGAGGAGCTTCAACAGCTGCATCGTATCGGATTTGTAGTCCCCCCAACATATACTAGTTTATTAGAATTTGTCATTACATATCAGCCATACATATTTACACAGTAACGGATAAAAACATTTCAATAAACCAAACATTACCCACCTCATATCTGGTCAATAACCATTCAAAACAACTATTTTCATTAATTTCAGACCAAATTATTCACATACTTGCATTATATTAAACTGCAATTCCAATATTCACCACTGTTTGGCGCCAAGTACCTTTTTCCTCTGATGACAGAGCAGCCTACTTGCTTGGACTCGCAATGAATCACAGGATATCCAAGGCTAGGTAGGATACACCGGATCCGTCCTTAAAAACGGGCAAAAAGAATTTGTCTGCCACATAACGAGGAGTTTTCCAATCCAAACAGACCTCTGCGCCTCAAGAAGATTTTGTAAAAGCTAATTAGCTAGACAACACTCAAACCTACAAATACTAACTGCAATAAAAATATTAAACTAAGACATTCAAACACAAAAATACATTTTAAAACAGTGGCGTTTTGAGTGTTTGACAGCTTCTCCAGCCTCGAGTCCCCAAGTTTCATCTGCTTGTTGGATTCCACCACTTCCTGGTGTTACAACATATTTGCCCCCCCAGCTAGTTCTTTCAACCTCAGCAGAAGAAAACAGTTAGTAATCTTCATATACTGTTAATAGTGTGTTTACTAATGTGTGCACCCATATGAGCAAAAATCCTAAAATAGTTATGCTCTGTGAAAGAAACATTAAAATTTGTGATGTGAGATGCTTCAAGTGAAAATGTCCCCACCTACTGGTGGAGGGCAGAACTACAGTTAGTAATATAATCTGTGATTTTATGCAATTGTTTTGTTTGTTTTTCCCATTTAAATTCCTTTGAAATGGTTAATGGGTGGCGTGTATAGTAAAACCTTTTGTAAGTTTTTGTGTGTGTAAAGTGTCTTAGAAGAGAGCAATCATTTAAGATACACTGTTTTTCAGCCATTTTAGTGAAATAAGCCATAGCAGACAGTGAAATTGTTGGTGAAAATCGGGCAATAGTGAACGAAATGAAAGGTGTTAATCATTCTTCAAACATAATAGTTTTTCCACAGTTTTTGGTTTTAGTTTAAACCAAGTAGATTGGTTGGAAAAACAACCAATCTATTCTAAGAATATATCCAAACTCTATCCAACTGACAGCAACTCCTATAAACTCCCCAGTGAGGCTGTTTAAATGCCTGTCGAAGTTCTCGAGCCGACTGAACCACTTCCTGAAGCGGTCACATAGTATCACGGCAGAGAGGCTTCTGACGTCATCAATTTTGCCCCTCCCCTAAATAAATCACACCTCGACACGCGCTTCGGGGAAACGCCCCCTCCATTACTCGACACACATCTCGAAGCCTCTGCTCATCTCATCACATCACTAATCAAAACACTGACACTGAAAGAGCTGGAGGAACCTCCACACATGCATTACGAATTGCATCTGCTTTGGAGATCAGCTTTCCTCATGCTAGCAACTTTGCTGCCAATTTAACACATGCGCCGTTTGAAAAATCTTGTTATTTAGCGATATTTTCTAATTTTTTTGTGTTTGTTTTTTGCCTTGTCCTTTATTTCTTATCACTGCGTTTATTAGATTTATTCAAGCAAAATACTTTCTGTGAGACTTAAGATGTTTTATCAGCTCTACTGGTGTTTCACCACATATGTTATGATAATCACAAAAATAATATAATATTTTGACTCTGCAAATATGTTGAGGGAAATGCACATTAATACACTGTTAATTTTCACTTAACAGTTTTGAAAAGCACAACTACAAGAGATTTCAAAATTTTTCTAAAGTTGATGTAAGGGTTGAGACAAACCCTCTTTGCATTGGTATTCGTTCAGATCCAGGATTACTACTTGTTTCTGTCCTTTATCCTCTCTTTTACTGGTGTTTTACATTTAGGACTGATCCAACGATCAAACCTGGACATGCAGCTGCATGTGCATGAAATGCTATTTTTCACATTTTAGTCACTCTTCTCTGCATTTTTCTAAGCTGTATTTTTGTCAGTATTAAATCATTGTATTTTAACAGTTTATAGATTGCCTATCCACATTTTAGAATGATGCATCTGCTGCAAGTGTTTTTGCCTGAGTTGTTTACTTCATTTTACAAAAGAGTTTGAGTAGTATTTTGGTGATAATTGGATGTTTTCCTGTTTCCTTTGCACCTCCTCAAAACCTTGCCATCCCCTGCTCAGCACTTCTAGTCTCATGTCTGTTCCTCCTCGTTGTAGTTTAACCTATGCTGCTCCTCCTCCTCCTTCCACCCTGCAGGCTGGTGTCCCTCCGTAGTCTCCTCTCTAAGTAGCAGTGGGCCTGCTGCCCTGGACAGTAGGCACCTCCTGCTCCTCCAAGCTGCTTCCCAGGGAAATGCCACTTTATTGTCAATGCTGCTTACCCAACCAGACTCGAACGAAACCACCATAAGTATCACTTCTACCACCTCATCCATGAACATCACCTCTACTCCTACTCTGGAAAATATGCCCAATCTTCTTGACCCAGACTTCCACCTCAATCACAACCAAACTTCCGCCTTGTTTGCTGCTGCTCACCATGGACAAACAGGTCAGTAAACATCTTTTTCTTCATGTGTTTTCATGGCAAACCATTTTTTAAGCTTTTATCAAATGATGGAAATGTACTTACGGAAGAGTAAATACTGACTTAATCTCATAATTCTGACTTTAATCTCAGAATTTTGGATTTTAATGTAGATGGGCACTATGAAGGAAGAGATGTGGGAGCACTCAGCTTCCCTGACAAAGATGTGAGTTGTTTGAGAGGACAAGTGACACATTGGTGGAAAATGACGGAATTAGGTGACT